TATCGTCCTCCTGGTTCCAGAAGCTAGCCAGGGTGGATTGTGTTCCTTCATTCTTTGGCTGAGTTGCCTAGTCGTGCGTCCGATGTATTCCGCTGCACAGCAGCAAGAGAATGAGTAAACTAACATATTTTGGGCGTGGACCGGCAATCTATCCTTGAGATTAAAGGTGCACAGACGATTGGTGGTGAACCAGGTTCGGAGTTTTGCGGCCGGGAAAACTTTGTTCAGACTGGTGGAAAGTCTTCTGTTCAGTAGATCGGCCGGTATATCTCCCTTAAACGGGAGGCTAATGTAAACTGGTTTCCTTCCAGCTGTGGTTGTGATGGTGTTTGCTTCTTCCCTGTTCAAATGTTTTGTAATAAATTTGTCGGGGAATCCACTGTCTCTGAGGACGTTGGTGAATAGCTCAAGTCATCCTATTGGCGACCTGAACTAATGGTTCTTTGATAGGTAGCCAATGTCATCTCACTCGATTCCCTGTCCATTTACACCATACCCATTCAAATATGTTGAATACCGCCCTCTTAACCTTTGCAATTGTACGAATGGGGAATTATCATAAGGTCAAGTTAGATTCAACACTGACAATAGGATTGAATGAACCAAGGCACACGGTCGCCAGTCCGGTACCGGAGAAATTCTGCTGTGTAGTAATGTGGGTAGATTTTTAAATCAAAAGAGCGTGAGAACAAGTTCGAAGAGCCTACCCTAATGGCTGGCTTTTCAACTGGTTCATGCGAGGGAGTTCGTTTTGCAAGGGACAGATTTTTGAGAACTTTAGGCCATATTTTGTAATCACTGAAAATGTACCGTCTGTTATGTCATAACTACAGAAGTGCCATTTAAACTGTTAACAAGAGCGTTTTACCAAAGCAACTGCAACAAATCCCACATTGATGGAGAATAATTCGTTACTAATACCACTTTTGTTTTGCGTGAAAAGCTGTTCGTAAGTTACCCTGTACTCAAATATTCGGTTATGACAAATGGCCTATTAGTGACGCTCTTATTCACCAAAAATTAAAAAAACCAAACTTTCAGTGGAACAAATGCATTTCCGATGAATTATTTCCGATGAGAAGAAGAGTTGCGCGCGTCGTACGATTCGGGGAATTTCAATGTTGCAGGGAGTTTTCAAACGCACTGCTTCCTCAACGTACAGCTGTGTCAATAATCGCAAATAATAATTTTACCAAATGGGCTTCATAGACTTTCCCAAAAAAATATGAGGTGGTAAACTTGAGGAATTATTGGCTAATTGAAACGCATCCTCACATAAATCCTGTGGTCCCAATAAAAACACTTTATGGTAGAAATATGACGGAAATTATTCAACTGTCTATGTACTGGTGGTGTTTTTGGCGGACGAAAAAGGAACTCACTGAACTGCAGTTTAGCGTTCACTCAAAATTCGAACTGTGAGATGCGATAAACAAAGACAACAGCTAATTTTATCAAGTGTTATGTTGTGTAAAAGCCGGTTACTGCCTTCATCCACACCGAACAAGAGATCGTGTGATCGATTTAAACCAAATACTTGCGGGCATACCTGGCGTTTGTTTCCTGGAATCATGCACGGGACAAAAGTCTAGAAAAGGTGAGAATAATCTGAGTGGGACACTTCTTGTGACATGTGTTAATGTGGCACACGGATAAAATGGAAATGGAACAAATTGTGAAGTAAATGCAATTGTTCAACTTGGTCCACAATCGGATTCGAGTTCTGAAGCGATGAGATCGAGGTGCGAAACTCAAAGTGAGAACCATTTGCTGGAGTTCTCAATGCATTAACTGATAGCGAGGTGAAATGTTCGTTGCATATACTGAGGTCTCATTTTGATCGATAATTTTTTTATGGCTGCATACATATAGATCGTCACTGGCACGCTAAAGCTAGCTGACAAGTATAAATCACACCGATTTCTCACAGTATGCAGTGGGAAAGAACCGATTTTTAGGATGACATCTTAGTCCAGGAATATGACCGGCCCAATCACAAGAACACATCATTCATTCACGTTAGCTATAATTTACCAATAAATGGGGTGTTCCCATGTGAATTTGCTATCCGTGACACACACTAAGATATGTGTGCTCACATCTTCAGTTCTCCGAATAATTCTAGGTCGAAATTGGAGTTTTGAACTTCCCGGCCAAATGCGTAGGGTGCAGTCGATGGAATGACTGAGTAGTTGGCACTCGAGATCTAGTCCCGAAAATGAACAGAATTTTTAGGATTCCTGATGATGAGGGTCCCATATGTGAAAGTAATGACGGCAGTAATATCGGAGGATTGTTTAACATATATTGTGTCTAAGTCGTCATATTCATAAACTGTTTCGGTTTTGCCATTATTCCACCATCATCGACGGTCAGGTCAAGTATCAGATCATTAGCAAATGAGATTCATTCTGTGTGGGGTTTACCATTTGAAATAAGCGTGTAGTGGAACAATCTGATGTACGTACAAAATTAATTGACGTTTTGGCACCCTTTTAGTACATGCAGGCTGAAAACTATGATTGTCTTTGTCACAGAAAACCCCTGCTAATTGGGGTTTTCACTGCTTTGGTTATCTAGTTTGCTGTCGAAGCAAAGAAAATTTATTCCCAAATAAAATTTAGTTGAATAAACTTAAGCTAGTTGACTAGACAGCAGGAAATATTTTGCCTTCTGATGGGGCAAACCAGTCTCAGCTGCCTAAAATTCAGAACTTGGGAATGGAGAGGATGAGAAAAAATGAAAAGATTGAAAGAAGCACCAATAAATGGAACAGTCGTGAGCCCACACAACCGGAAACAGACAAAGTTGGGTGCGCAAACAAGAGGGCTGTCTATTAACTAGGGACGGCGCTGGCCAAAAACCCCGTGCCTCACCTAACAGAAATTTGTTGATTTGTGTTTTTGCTAAGCCCACAATTAATTCTCTTCTGAGGTGAAACAATCTAGTATAAAAAGATTCCATAAACATTTAAGATAGCTAAACTGCATCTAGTGAGTATCAAACCCACTGCGGAGCGCACTGGAACAATGGACACTGGAGGGTTTATTTGGAATGCTCGAGATTTTCGCGTTCGTCGAATGAGCACACTCCGTCAAAAATATCTTGTCAAGCAGACACACTATATACGTATATTTCTCAAGTATGGTGGGATAAAATGCTTGAGCTTATAACGTAGTTGTTTTCCGTGAGGCAAACATTCTGTTTTTCTGTCAACACTCCGGGAAAACCACATTTTTATTCTAGTTTGATATAGAAAAAAAGAATGTAGAGCTAACCGCGTTTTGGTTGCACACCCATCAAATTAGGCAACAATATACTTCTGATGTTCACATCTTCATCAACCTTCCACAACAAGTCAAAAATTAAGATACAATTAGTTAGATTTTCTCTGACCATGCTTGTTTCACTGTCCTATTGCAAACATGACACCGTAATCCCCCGTTAGGTACCCTTTATTTTTCCGAAAAGCGCACAAAAAATTAACTAACACACAACCCGACGAGTAGAATTCACCCCGACATAGTGGCGCATCTAAAGCCTGTAATACAAAACATACACAGAGTGCGACATCCAAAAAAATTCAAGACGATTAATTTTAGACGCTTCGACTTTACTTTTGTGGGTGTTCAAATGTGTACTGGATTTTCTAAAATAAATTTCCCTTATTGATTTTTTATTTGTTTAAAAAGCCGGTGAGTATTACGATTATCTGATCGGTCAATTTTTTACGGTGTGAGTCACATCAAACCCAATAATTTTCTGACAACTCTGCTGGCAATTATATTTAAATGTTAGCGTAGGAAGAATTTAGAATCACAAAGAATTCCCCTTGCGCAGCTGGTTGTCATGCGGTTTGAAGTTACAGGGAGATAGTGTTTTGGAATCTGTTACGGATGCCTTTTTCGAGTGTAT